TTTAAAAATTAATTTCAGTTAAAATTTTAGATAATAATTCAATATTAAAAGCAATATAGGGTGAATTTTTAAAAATAATTGAGTTTTGAAACTAATTTTTTGGAAAAAGTTTAATTGAATTTTTTAAATATTTTTTTTAAAGTTTTTAGTTTCTAATATTTATGTAATTGAAGAAATTACGAATAATTGAAATTTCGTAAAATTGAATATTGTAAACAAATGGATTTGAAAATTGTCAAAGAACTTTTCCGAAAATTATTAAAAATAATCGATTTAATGAAGAATATTAGTTAAAAATGCTTGAATCATATTTAATTATTATAAAACATGAAGATATCGATAATTCCGAGTCTTCGACTCGGAGTCATCGATTTCTTCATGTTTTATAGTTATGGAAAATTTAATTTATAGTTTTAAGTAAACTGTTATTATTGTCATAGTATTTATGAAAATTAAATGAATTTACTAATAACGAAAAATAAATTTTTGAATTTTTGAAAAAGCCCGCGTTAGAATTAATTGCTGGAGGGCGCCACTGATTTTCTCACAAGTGGTAATGTTTTCGCATCAAATTATAGTAATTATAATAAAATTAAAATAATAACACTAAAAGTGATAGAAAAATGTTAAAAATGATAATAATAATAAAAATAATAATAATAATAAAAGGGGGGGGGTCCACCCTAACTAATACGTTTCTTTACATAATTCTGAAAATTAATTCTACAATTGATTCTTAATTAAAAAGAAAATAAATATAAAAAAATTCTCGCTGTCTTGCAAAAATAATTGCCATAGACAAGACTAAGAAGAAGAAGAAGAAGGATAAACCTTTTAACGAATTCTTTTGTCCCTAAACTTAAGAGGGTTAAATTTTCGAAAAATAATGGTTACAAATGTTTTTGCCGCAGGTAGATAATTCCCTTTATTGAAAATATTATATCTTACTTTCAAGTGACAAGTCACGTTCTCAAATTGAATTTATGGTAAATTTTACAATATTTTACTATGTTTTTAAATAGGTTTTTGCAAATCCTTTTATATCCTCTATCTCTTTCTCTCTCTCTTCTCTTTTGCTTTAAATTATAAAATGAGCTATATATATATAGATTTTTATAAAAACATTGGTTAAGGAGATTAGTTTCGTGGAAAAAGGATTTTTATTACCGACCCTCAACTACTATTTCTCTCTTTCTCTTTCTCTCTCTCTTCTCTCCTCTCACTGTCTTTCACTTCTTTTCTCGAAATTTTCTGACTCTCGTATAAAATAAATGAAGAAATCACTTCTTGTGAAATTCTTCAAGTTTTATGAGATAACAAACTCAGTTGAGGTCAGTTGTATTATATGCTACATTTGACGATTTCATCAGGAGGAAAAATTGGTGAAAGTGAATAACCAAGTTTCTCTGTATTTACCCCCCCCCCCACCCCCACTCCCTTCCCCCTCACCCACCTTCACCCTTTTCCTCTATTTTTGCTCGGTAATATTCCTTTTGTTATTATTGGCTCGAAATTTTATTGTTCTCTACATTTAATAGTTTATTTATTATAGTTTTATGCATTTTTCTTTATTTCCCCCCCTAAAAAAAAAAGAAATGCGGAGATACTTCACAATAAATTGAATCTATTAGGAGAAATTTTTCCAAAAAGTTTTACTTTTATAATAAATATTATTTTTTATTTTTTATTTAATTATGTGTTAATTATTATGTTAAATATTATAATGATTATGCTAAATTTTAGTAAAAGGTTAAATATTATAGTCAAATTTCACTATTTTGTTAAATATTGACGTCAAATATTATTTTTAGGTTCAATATTATCGACAAATATTATTAGGTTAAATATTATCTGGATATTATCGTCAAATATTATAATTAGGTTCAAAATATTATAGTCCAATAATATTTGTCAATATAATATTTAAGGTAATAATAATATTTAACATATTATTGGACAATAATATTTCGCATACTATTTAACATAAGAATATTTGACGATAATATTTAACTTAATAATAATAAATATGACTATAATAGTTAAATATTAACCTAATAATTATATTTGAAGACAATATTGAACCTAATAACAATATTTGACCCAATAATAATATTTGACAACAAAATTTAACGTAATAGTATTATTTTTATGGTTAATATTGTTATTACGTTAAATATTACTGTCGAATATTATTATTTTGATAAAAATTATGATAAACATTATTTACGTTCAATTTTTTCACATATTATTACCTTAAATATTATTGTCGAATTTTCTGTTAAATATCTTTGTCAAATACTATGTTAAATATTATACTGAATATTAGGTTAAATATTGTTAAATATTATATTGAATATCATGTTAAATATTATAATAAATATAAGGTTAAATATTGTTAAATGTTATACTGAATGTTATCTTAAATATTGTTAAATATTGTATTGAATATCATGTTAAATATTTGGATAAATATTAGGTTAAAAATTATAATAAATATAAGGTTAAATATTGTTAAATGCTATACTAAATATTATCTTAAATATTGTTAAATATTATATTGAATATTAGATCACATATTTGGTTAAAAATAAGGTTAAATATTATGTTAAATATTGTATTGCAAAATCAGGAATAATATTTGGTTAAATATTAGTTTAATATTAATATAATTTAATTTAATTTAATTTAATTTAATTTAATTTATATTATAATATAATATAATTAATATAAGGTTAAATATTGTTAAATGTTATACTGAATACTATCTTAAATATTGTTAAATATTATGTTACATATTGTATTGGATATCAGGACTAATATTTGGTTAAATATTAGTTTAATATTAGGTTAAATATTAGGTTTAATTTTGGGTTAAATATTAGGTTAAATAATAAGTTAAATTTTAGGTTAAATATAATGATCACGAGAAACTCTCAATTATATTATTCAACAAATAACAATCAAATTACAAGAAAAAAAAATTGAAGGGATTAATTTTGATTAGGGATTAGCCTACGCCACTGGGTCATCCATATGTTGAATATTGGTTAAGTACACATTAAAGACGCGTGCGCGTTTATATTCCGTTGCGGGACAAGAGTTGCATATGCAACATACGTACGTATATATAGATATATAGTTGTATTTGGGGCTTTGCGAAACGAGAAATAATAGCGTATTAGTAGAACGCTTCAAACGACAGCTGCAATTCAACCCTGAATTGAACTGTTATTTAAGCGGTGCGAGGGCAAAGAAGAAAAAAAGGAGACAACTCGGCAAAAATTCTATTCATATAAATATATATAAATGCTTATATATTATATATTGGAATACCAATAAAATCTTATAGTTGTACATCATGTTTAGTTTTTGTATGGTATCAGTACTTTCGTAAATGGAAAATTCTATCTTTTTCTTCTTACTCTCTAAATTTCTTGGGAGATTGTTTTCAATCTTTAACCTAATATTCAATATAATATTTGTCCTTATATTTAACCTAATATTAAACTAATATATAAACAAATATTTAATCTGATATTCAATACAATATGTAACATAATATTTAACCTAATATTTAACCTAATATTTAACCTAATATTGAACCTAATATTGAACCTAATATTTAAACAAATATTGAACCTGATATTCAATACAATATTCAACCATGTTTAACCTAATATTCAGTATAATACTTAACAGAATTTAACCTAATATTCAATATAACATTTATCCTAATATTTAACTTAATATTAAACTAATATTTAACCTAAACTAATATTTACTAATTCTTAAATTAATATTTATATTCAAGTATAATACTTAACAATGTTTAACCTAATATTTAATATAACATTTATCCAAATATTTAACCTAATATTTAACCTGATTCTCAATACAATATTTAACCTAATATTTAACCTGATTCTCAAAACAATATTTAACCTAATATTTAACCAAATATGTGACCTAATATTTAATATAATATTTAATATAATATTTAATATAATATTTAACATAATATTTGATAATGATATTTAACAGAAAATTTGAACGTAAATAATGTTTATCATAATTTTTAGCAGAATAATAATATTCGACAGTAATATTTAGCGTAATAACAATATTTAACATAAAAATAATATTATTAGGCTAAATATTATTGTCAAATATTATCATGAGGTCAAATATTATAGTCAAATATTGTTATTAAGTTCAATATTGTCTTTAAATACTATTATAGAAGGTTAAATAAATTATTATAGTCATATAAATTATTATTAAGTTAAATATTGTCGCCAAATATTATTATTAGGTTCAATTGAATATCATGGTCGAATATTTTTTTAGGTTAAATATTATAGTCATATATTATTATTAAGTTAAATATTATAGTCATATACAGGTATTATTATTTATTTAAATACTATCGTCAAATATTGTTAGGTTAAATAATATTATTAGGTTAAATATTGTTCTGTTAAATAGTATGCGACATATTATTGTCTTATATGATGTTAAACAATATGTTAAATATTATTATTACCTTAAATATTATTGACAAATATTATTTGACTATAATATTGAACCTAATTATAATATTTGACGATAATATCGAGATAATATTTAACCTAATAATTATATTTAACTATAATATTTAACCTAAAAATAATATTTCACGTCAATATTTAACCAAATAGTGTCATTTGACTATGATATTTAACCTTATACTAAAATTTAGCATAATCAATAAAATATTTAACATAATAATAATTAATACATAATTAAATGAATATTAAACATTCGCCAATAAAGCAGAATGCAAATTTTTAAATATTCGACTATAGATTTACTGACGTTGTGTCTATACATTCATGTGCATGACGACGATTGAGTCGTCGTTTTTCAAAAAGAGCGATTAACAATTTTATTAGACATGGAAAATTTATTATACTCACGCATTAATAAGCGGCCTTGTTCAAAAAAATTTTATGCCAACTCACCTGAAACTGAAATAATATTTCTATTAGTGAGACTATTCTTGAGAGTACAGTATTTTCAATGTTCTTAATTTATAGGAACATAAGTACATAATTACATTAAATTTAATATCTATAGGTGGGTTTGTTTTATATTTTAATAAATTATTAAATTATATTATAACTACCTACTAGATAGCAATAATTTTAGTAAATTATTATTTTAATTATTTTAATTTATACCTTTAATTTTATAAATATTGTTAATTTATTAATTTTTATTACATTTAATAATTTTACAATTATAATTTTAGGTATTATAATTATAATATAATTTATATCATAATAACTAAAGTTATAATTACTATATTTATTATAATGGTAATTACTACAATTATAATTATCATTATTATAATTACTATAATTATAATTACTGTAACTAGGGGAACACAGTCAAGGTTGGACCCTTTGGGTTGCCAAGGTTGGACCCCCTTTAAGTTACAATTATATTTAATTATTTACTATAATTATAATTATAATAATAATTGTAATTACTGTAACTAGGGGAACACAGTCAAGGTTGGACCCCCTTTAAGTTACAATTATAATTACCATAATTATAATTAAAATAATCATAATTAAAATTACTGTAACTAGGGGCGAACATAGTATGGGTTGGACCCCCTTTAATTATATAAATATATTCTAAGAAATAATAAACAACTGATTCAAAAACAAAATAAAAAAAAACACTCACATATACACGTACACTTGGAAAAATAAATAGTTATATTGATAATCATGGAAAAATTTACGATCGACGATTGGACAGTTAAACAGCAAATTTTATGGTGAATTTTGCGCCATTCATCGAAGACACTACATAAATTGACAGTTTTACGATAGCTCTAAAATATTTTTTACAGCTTCATTCTCTATCTTGAAAGATATTTGCACTGTGTGTGATGATAATGCCCTCTCAAAGAAATATCGAATCTTGAGATTAGTTTTCTGCATATATATATGTATGTATATGTGTATATATATATACCAATTTAAAGTTGAAAATTCTTTCCTCTCATTCTCTGCGCTTGGATAAATAGAAAACAGGTCTTTTGGGGAGAGTTATGCAAACAAAAGAGAGGCGATAAAATCATAAAATCATGAGAGACTCACGTTGAACAAGATGCTCCAAAGTTTTTTGAGTGTAAAAAAAAGATTTTTATTCTCTTAAATATTATCTCTAGATGTGTGTATATGTATATATAATATGGTCGATGAATGAACACTGCGTCATCGAGTCGTAAAGTTATAAAAAAAGAATTATTTTGGAAATAGAGTTTATTAAATTTTATAATATTTTCCGGTCTATATAAATATTTGAAATTAATTGCTTCATAATTTTGGATTTTTAAGTATTTATTTAATTGTATTAAGTATTAGTTAATTTTTTTTATTTAACAAATAATTATAATGTTATAAAAACGTTATATTAAATAAATAAAAAATAATCCAACGAGTGTAATTTATAATTTGACGAAAAATTATTACCACTTGCGAGAAAGTCTATAATTTGAGCTAAAATATTACCACTTGCGAGAATGTTTATAATTTGAGGTAGAAACATTAGCACTTGCGAGAAAGTTTATTAAAAAAACTACCACTAGCGAGAAAGTCTAAAATTTGACGAAAAAATATTACCACTTGCGAGAAAGTCAATAGTGCCCTCTGGCAGTCAATTTTAACGCGGGATTTTTTAAAAACTAAAACCTATTCTTTCGTCTTTAATAAACTAATTTAATTTCGTTCGTTTTCTATTATTATTGTTACATTATTTATAAAAACAAAATTAATTTACTAAAAACGAAAGAACAAAATTTAAAGAAATTCAAGAAACCCGCGTCAAAAACAATTATCAGAGGGCGCCATTGACTTTCTCGCAAATGGTAACTTTTTCGGTAAAATTTTAGACTTTCTCGCAAGTGGTAATTTTTTAAATAGACTTTCTCACTAGTGGTAATGTTTTTGCCTCAAATTATAAACTTTCTCGCAAGTAATAATATTTTAGGTCAAATTATAGACTTTTTTGCTAGTGGTAAAGTGTATAATTTGACCTAAAATATTACCACTTGCGAGAAAGTGATAATAATTGTAGTATTTAAAGTAATTAACATTTAATTGACTTAAAAAAAATATTTATTTCCAAATAAAAAAATAACAATTTAAACTATATAAACAAACAATTTTGGCACAATTTTTGCTTATAATTAATAGAGGACAAGTTTATTTGAACAAAATAATTTTTTTAAAAAAATAGTATTTTGTATCATTTATGTAATTTTATAATTGTTTATTTATATTTATTTATATTAGGTAAAGGTAGTTGTTGAATTTGGAGTAAAAGACTGAAGTCCCGTAAGGCACATGACTGCATTCTGGTACGGTGAAAGAGGATACGCGCGTAAAATGCATGTGTTTATATATGTCGAGAGGAGGTCGTTGTGTATAAACTCGAGGATCGGTCAGCACAACGAGAGAAATCAATGAGTTTCTACCGGATATCCTTCGAGGACATTAATCTCCTTGTCACAAAAATTCCTTAACCATACTTTAGTCGCTGAGCGTCGAGAAATCGTATTTATAAATCTATTTATTTATATCTCTACATATAAATATATATATTATATAAATATATATAAATATATTTATAAATATATATTATTATTTTTACTTTTTTTTATTATTATTATTATTAGTATTATTAGTATTATTAGTATTATTAGTATTATTAGTATTATTAGTATTATTAGTATTATTAGTATTATTATTAATATTGGTATAATATGATCATTAAAGAAATATAATCATAAATAAATAAAAAATAAATTCTAAGATTTAAAAAAGCCCGCCCTTGAATTAATTGCCAGAGGGCGTCATTGACTTTCTCGCAAGTGGTAATATTTTTGCGTCAAATTATAGACTTTCTCACTAGTGGTAATTTTTTAAATAGACTTTATCACTAGTGGTATTGTTTTTGCCTCAAATTATAGACTTTCTCGCAAGTGGTAATATTTTAGGTCAAATTATAAACTTTCTTGCTAGTGATAATTTTTTAAATAGACTTTATCACTAGTGGTATTGTTTTTCCCTCCAATTATAAACTTTCTCGCAAGTGGTAATATTTTATTGTCAAATTATATATTTTCTCGCTAGTTGTAAAATTTTAGGTCCAATTATAGACTTTCTCGCTGGTGATAATTTTTTAAATAGACTTTCTCACTAGTGGAAATGTTTTTGCCTCAAATTATAAACTTTCTCACAAGTGGTAATATTTTAGGGCAATTTATAGACTTTCTCGCTAGTGGTAATATTTATTTAATAAATAGGTAAAAATAATGTTAAAATACCAACGAAATTAAATGAATTTGTTAAAATAAAAAAAAATTACTTCTAATATTTAAAAAATCCCGCCTTAAATTTAGTTGCCAGAGGGCGCCATTGACTTTCTCGCAAGTGGTAATATTTTCCGGTCAAATTACTATTATGCTAAATATTAATATATAATTATAGTTTATAAAGTGTGAAAATGAAAATCAAATTATTATTCGAAAGTAAAGCTGAGTAATTTTTCTAAAGATATCTGCGTGAATAATAATTATGGATATGTAACAAAATATTTTCTCCATATCATTAACATGATAAAATGTTTTGCCGTCTGAAATTTTCATTGCGGAAACTAATGCTCCAGATTTTAACCGGTTCAACGTGTTTGTTAATCAATTAAAGTGTATCAATCTTTAGCTATTTCAATTTATACGCAGATATATTGTATATTTTTAAAGTTCTCTCTTTCTCTCTAAAATAATGTTGGAGGTATACATTAGTTTAACCGGTTGAGTTACCATGCACGTGTTAACGTATTCTAATTGCAAAAAAAAAATTTTATATTATTATTTGTTTGTATTATAATTATAATAATTATAATTTATATTATATTAATTTTACTATTAAAATTTTAAAATTACAATAAAATATTAAAAAAAGGAAAATTGGCAAATTAATGAAAAAGAAATGTAGAATCGGAATAATTAGTCAAGGGATGATGTTTTAATTTCTATTGAGTAAAAAATATACAACTATATATATATATATATATATACTGAAAAGGGTCGTCAAATCATTTCAAGTTATTAAGAGAGTTACCATCAAAGCTATATTATAAGTGTATATGTGTGTTGGGCGCACAAGATGAAAATTGATTGCATACCGATCAGATATTGATTGCTATAGGAGGTGGAACTTATTATACCCGCATTATGTAGCGAGTCATTAAATTGTTACGCTGGCAGACAGATTGAACAGCAATTCATCTATATATACTATATATATATGGAGGGGCTCTGCTTGTACACAGAATATTTCTCGAAATTATTATCATATCGCGTGCGACAATAATTATACTATAAAAAAAACGAAATTTCTTTTCCTTCAATTAAAAGTAAAACGTAACTGAATATTGTTTTAAATTACTTTTTTTCTTCTTTTAAAAAATTTCTTTATTAGAAAAGTAAATTCGAACCGCATAATTGGAATCTTAATTATAATTATAACAATAGAAATAATTAATTAATATTAATATTATAATTAATACATTAATATTATAATTAATTAATTAATACATAAATAATATTTGAGGCTCCGGAACAAAAGGGTAAAAGAGGATTAAAAGGACACTTTCAGCATTGATTTTAAATGCTGAAAGTGCCCTTTTAAGATCCGGAGCCTCATTTATGATATTAATTAAAATAATAATTATATTTATGATGCTAATTATAATATTTATAATACTATATTTACAATTATAACTATACTATTAATTAATAATTGTAAAAATAATTAACATTAATTAGGAATACAATTATTATTGCAATGACAAATTTGAAAGATAATTTTAATGATAATTTTGCGATAAATTGTATAAAATTTACAAATTTATATTACACGCAGGTCATTTTATACTTTAATACATT